GAACTCTTCGTCGAACAATACAAACCTCCTCTCAACGATGGACACGAGTAATGATGAGAGATTTTCCTATTGCAATCTCTTCATTCTGTATTGGCGTCAACATTGACTCTGTAACAACTCAGAGTCTTCCAAGAAATGTTCGATTCTGAGAATGGGTGCGCATATAGCTAATGTGATTTTATAACATCACCCGAGTTTATTTTTTCGTAATCTTTTTTGGTTGTCATGCCATCATCGTATAATGCATCATGTGACCCGGATAATTATACGCCTAGGAGTTTATCCCGTCATCCTGTGTAACTACGTCATGAATAAAATACAAATATGTATATAATGTGAGAAGTTATTCCTAATAAGGGTGCAATTGGTTTGTGGAAAAGAGACAAGTCCATATACGTATTTCAAAGGTCTCTTTTTTTGTCTAATCGATTTGTCATTTCCAAGAAAGTCAAAGACTCTAGACCTGCGGCATTTTAGCCAACCCGTAGGGAAGAAAGAGGAGCACATGAAAAGATTAACCTGCTAATTAAGGAAAAGATGACGGATTGTAAAAGGAAAGAATGACGTCATTTTGTAAAGTTGAAAAGATCATTGTCACGACGCACTTGAAAAGATGAATGATCAACTTTACGATGAAAGTAATCGATTCTAGAGGGTCCTACTACCGAGATGGCAATTTATGATTTAACAATTATTGGCATCAAACAGATACCTTATGTTTATTTAGGGTACCATTTTTTCGTAAACTTTTGGGTCAATGCTAGTTTTTCGTAAACTTTTGGGTCAATGCCATTTTTCATAAACTTTGGGTCAATGCCATTTTTCATAAACTTTTGGGTCAATGCTATTTTTCATAAACTTTGAGTCAATGTCATCCTTTCATATTCAGGCAATGTCATGCATGGTTTTCACAGATGATATGGTGTATCCCTCAAATAAAAAATACAATAATAATAATATTATCATAATAATGGTAGTAGTGATGTATTTTTTCTTTCTTGAAAAAAACATTTATCTTTTTGAATGTCAGATGATCAAGCCAGGTGAACATTACATGACAAAACTTGTGTGCAAGTTTTAATGAGATCAATGTTTTGTTTTGTTTTTTCTCAGAGAAATCTGTTCTCCAGGCACTGTGTCACATAATTGAAACATTCCTTTCGAAGAAAAATGCAATCAATATTACGATGACGAACTTTATAAAAGAAAAAGATAATCAGTAAGAACAATGTTTCTTAATCTTCAATTACGTAAACTATCTGGAGATGGATAAGATTGTCATTGTGAGAACACAATATATCTTTCCGAATATTTGTTCGAAGTCACGAATGTTTTTTTCTCTTAAATAAATGTCAACGTGAGCATCAACGCACGGAGTAAGTGACCGATAAAATCAAGATGGAATTTTAGAGATCACATGATTCATAATAAGGCTTCGTCGGATGCAAGTCATATAAGTGATTGGTCTTGGCAGAATCATGACCTTTCTGAAGCATATAAACAAATAATTGTTTTTTTCCTACTATGCCGTATATTCTTTTTTCATTGTCAGCTTGTATACATCCAGTGCATGTATCAATATTAATTTTAATTACATAATTACAGGTAGTTTAATTACAAAAATCGATGATTCGTTTTTATCTTACACCTTATATGGAAGATTTTGAATGACTCTCAAATTAAAAAAAAAAATGTTACATTATCTGCGAAAAATATTATTGTTTGGTAGATGGCATCCTTTGTCCTTATCAAATATGTTGCACAGTGATTAGATTATCTTATCTTGTAGCACTTGAGATAACCAAACGTGTAGTCATGCGCTCCGTAATTTGACAAATGATTTCTGAAATAATTAATAATGAGTCGTGCTGATTAAGACTGTCATGGAAACGGTTAATAATCATCCGTGCCACACACAATGTGACCGTCAATGTGACTGAGATGACGAAATGACTGACCGATGTGATTATGTGATGACATGCGCCCCAGGAGCGCACGATAACTTTCCCAGGAATGTCGTACGCACATCCGCTCGTAACAAATTTGTTTACTGTTTTCCCTTCTCTCATTATGTATGGATTTCCCCACGAGGATTCGCAACAAACATTTGTCGTCCATGGTCACTGCATACCCTTACGTAAATTTATTTTTCGCGCCAACATCGGAAAAAGAGTAAATTAAGAAAAATAAATTGTAAAGTTGACAATGGTTTCTCCGGATGATCGCACCTGTACGAGAAAGTTACTCTTGCATCGAGTTTCTCTGAGTTGAGTTGCGATTTGAAACATTTAACAGGTAAATAATTCCAAAGAATTTGATTTGGGTTGTACCAATTCACCTAATTTTTAATAATAATCGTCAATTTGGGAAAAGTTTTTTTTTTTCTTCTTCGAGAGCTACGCTTGGTCGCGTGTGCTCATCCTAATTAAAAATTCGAAATTCTTTGTTCTCGCGCCATCCATCATTTTCATACACACATTCTCCTGATACTGGCGTAAAATGACCCAAAAAAGAACAATAAAAAGTTGAATAGTGATTTTAATTTGTTTGTCGAATTTTTAATTCGATTGTGTCACCCGTGTGAGGTCGTGTGCTTTCTTAATTTGTAAATTTTCCAATCAGGTTTAACGTTCCTTAAACATTTCCGGTAAATCCTTTTACATAAGCTACTTTTATTCTTTTGGTAAGACCTAATTTCGTATGAACCGAGGAAACGCCGTAAGTCAACGGATACCGGATTTTCTCTAAAAATCTCAATAGCCACCAAAGAGCCTGCCTTCCGCATTCAGATGGTTTCACAATACACGCACCCAGAACCAAAAACGTCATGAACGGCTGAGTCAGAGGTGTGATGAGAAAGGAAGCTTGTTGATTTGTTTATAGAACTTGATCAGCACAACCTAATTTAGAAACTGTTTTATTGGCTGAGGCTTGAATGATAATCGTTGATCATCGTCCATCACAATGACTTAGGTGACATGGATATGGAAGTTATTTGAACAAATAGAATTCAACCACCAAAAAATTACCCGTTTTATAATGTTTGGTGATATGGACCTATTAACATGTAGATGTATAAAACACACTTGCGGTAAATAATAAATCCGCTTCCTTATGACATTGTGACGAAAAAATATATACCAGGAGTGACAATTATGTTACCAATGGAGACATCGAATTGAAATTTTTTGGACTTGCATGTATTACAATTTACCTTGGTAAAAAAAAAATGTTGTTCTCGATTCCTTTAATTATTTACAACCTAAGCTATTATTAGTTGCAAGCATAGTGTGTATCCGTCCCTAGATCTTGATTCATGCGAGATAAGATATACCTTGTAAAGTAAATTATGTGCAAATCAGCTAATAAATACACAATAATACTATTGTGGAAATAATTCGGTCATGAAAAAAAATACGGTTAAACAAGAATCTTTCACGTCATATGCATAATGCCAAGTATTGTAAATTATTTATAGATCCATTTATAACAAAAAATAAAACCGGGATTTTTTTTAACCCTTGAATATTTGAATTGGAATGTGCGCTTCACTCACATTATTTTTTTTATTGTCTTTGTTCTAAATAAATATTGTTCCCTCGTGATGAAATGTTGAAGTGTACGCATGCACGTTCATATACGCATTCTCAACATGATTTCTGCAATTCAGTGCTACGCGGAAGTAAGGTGTGCGTTTTCTCGATCGTTTTTGCTCTTTTAAAGGAACAAAACAAAATTAAATGTCTCACGCCTTGAAGTGATCTTCTTTCTTTTTTTTTTTTTTTTTTTTTTTTTTTTTTAAAAAAAAAAAAAAATTATCTACATCTATCTGATCACAACTTCCAATTTTTTTAATTTGGTTGGTGGTCCCACGTTCGTATGCCCCACTGTTACAATTCTAATTTTTGAGTAAAATTAAATCTAGAATGCAGGGATAAGCGATCCATATTTGCATGCATTCAAACGCGATAAACAATATAAGTTGCAAAGTAGAGGACGGTCTTTCAATTAACCACATGCGGATTTTGCGTTTAATTACCGGTATTACAATCGCTGAAGTATATAAAGAGGATTGACCAATTGGTCTCGTGCAGTCCTCGAGATAAGTGCAAGGGTCAGGTGATTCATGAAACAGGAAGAAACGATTCTCATTCACCAATAACGTAGTAATCATCTCGAATATTTTAACGACCAATACATATGTAGATTCTTATTATGGAATATTAAGGCAACAAAGAAGCTTATAAACAAAATAATCAAAATAATTTGAATTTAAATAAAAGCTGATATTCGGTGGCAACGGAAAAACTGAAATGCGTTACACAATTACCATAGTTATTATTTTATTGATGCGTATGACATTCCTTTTCTATTTGCCAAAATTATATATCCTGACGTATAAGCCGAAAGAATTACAAAAAATCATTACATGTGTATGCTTTGACTTTTGCACTGGTGTGAAAAAAAATTTCATTTCCAATACGAGGTAAGAAGGGTCGCAAAGACATAAGCGAGCAAGAGAGTTATAGCCGAAATTACTAAGGAGAATTACACCAAGTCATACATAAGGCACCGCACTCAAGAGACAGGACACCGCCCCTCTCAATAACAGCCTCTTGTGTGATTATCTCCTTTCATTTTTCAGGAGCTTCTACATGGGTAGTCAAGGATGCCTAATGAACGGGGGGGATGCAACCTTGAATCCTTGACTACGACAGGGGACTACCAATATATTACTGTAAATCGATTTTTTTATATATACATAATTAAGTATTTAATTGAGTTTGTAAATTTGATTAAGGTTTTTAATTATAAATATTTTTATAACAGTAGAATTTATTTGTTTAACATAAAAAAAAAAATTTTTTTTTATCAATAAAATTATACAAAATGACGATTGACAAGTAGCACTAATGATGTCATAAATTTATATAAATACGCTTGCCTTATTCCTAGCTCACTCAAAAAAAATTTTTTGGAAAAAAAAATTTCAAAATACAATGTTCTCATCTCAAGTTTCATTCCAAGAGCCTCAATTAAGACAGGAACATCCAGCACTTAAACATTCGCCTCGAAGCCATCATCCAAAGCCAACATACTTCTTATCAACCCCACCGCCTTCGCCGATGGCAGCCACCCTAGGGCAACCTAATCGCTCCTGTGCAAGCTGCAAGAAGCGAAAAGTCAAGTGTGACAGGAAGACACCTTCGTGCTCAGCCTGTCAAAAGTCAAAACATCATTGTCATTATACTTCCTATTCTCCGACTACCGTGATCACAGAAGAAACTCAATTCACCGGAGATGAAGAAGTGTTCAGAGCAATTAAACAGAAGTTTGAAGAAATTGACAAACAACGTTGGGAAAATTTTATTAGAAATTTTAATCCTGCATTGGCGTCAAAGGTAATCAACTCTTCCATTCTTACATTGGATTGCACGAGCAAAGATGAATCGACTCAATTGAATTTCTCTTTGTCTCGTCTTCATGGTTTTCTTTGATTCCGACTGATATTAACCTTCAACAAAAACTCTCGTTTAAAAAATATAGTGCCTTAATCAACCGCAGCAGGAAGAGCGTAACTTGGGATTCCCAGTTCATTACTACGCAGATGATATCTATAATTTAAGTCTACCGGTGGGTGTCCAGCACCCCGTGCCACCTACGCTGACTGACGCGCCATACCAAAGTTCTTATGTCGTTCCCCCCATTCCATCTTCACCAGGTTTGTGATCTATTCTGCTCTAATGTGACGTGAACTAAATAAACATTTAACTAACCTCCCGCAAAACTTTTTAGCTACTTCTGACTATGTTCCGTGCATGAGGGCTACTATTACACTAAATTTCAACTTGAACGCAATGAGCTCACTACTGGGACCCGAATTTGCACCTTTGCTACAATCAGTGACCGATGATGAGGGACCATCGATTCCTCCCTCTGGATTCACGGATATTTACCATTTACAAAATTGGATACGAGCAAAATTCCTTTCACAAAGTTGGGATGACGAGATGGAAAGTGTTGAAGAGAGATTCAATCTACAACCAATCCTCGACAAACCAGACAGATCCGGATGTCAA